AGGTAAAATGTGAATTAACTTAGAGAAATGGGAACTGTTTAATAACAGGAGATTCGGTCAAGATACCTATCACGAGGTAATGCTATATCCCTAAGTAACTGAGTCATGAGAATGGAATATAGAGACTGGATACAATATTAAATACAGGTAAACAGTCTTTATTAATTCACAAACACAATTTGTGTCCACTTGCTTTTGGTATGGGGCAATAGCTTCTAATTAATATTATATATGCAGTTGTTCAAGCTGAATCCATGTACCAAGGTATGGCATGGCCTGGTGGTTAAGGCGATCGACTTGCAGTTTGCAAGTTTTGGGATCAAATCCCGTTGCCAAACATGCTCGCCTTTTCCACAGTGGGGTGTTGTAATGGGATGATTAATCCCACTATTCGTTGGTAAAAGAGTAGCACAATAGTTGACAGTGAATGGTACTGACTGGCAGCCTTCCCTCTAGACTATCACTTCAAAATTAAGGACGGCTAGTGCAAGTAGCCCTCGAGTAGCTTTGCACAAAATTTAACAAACAAACTAATACCATCTGTTGCTATCACTCTGGTCCGCAGCTCAAAATTAGGAACATCCCGCGTGTAATGATTGATATAGTCACGAATTTCACCATTCTATGAGTAATTTAGAATGTTTCTTTAATCTGATACATTCAGGTACGTTTTCCCCCTAAAATTTCGGGCAGATGTCCTGTTTATAGTATATATAACATTTTTGTTAACCGAATGCCGAAAGGTCGTAAACATATACTAATGCTTTTAATCTGGTAAAGTTGCATGTTTCAACGGATAGAAAATTCATATCACTTTGGTCTTGTATCTGAACCTCATCACAGGTGGTGTTTCAGAAAATTGTATAAACTGATATGAATCAGGGGGGTTTCCTTCCTAAAAATGTCATTTCAAATAATTGGTGACGTGTGAATCATTGGTTTCTGGTATTTTACCGTTTTATCTGAATTTAGGCGGTAAATTAGGTCCTGCATTGTCCTTTTTTAGTGCGGACGTGTTAAAGAAAGACTCCTTCCAACACCACCAGCCAGTAAAATAAAATCACAATAGAAAACTGTCAACCGGTCAGTAAATGAAATAATTGACGACACTTGTGTTTGTGTTTTTCTTTCTTTTGCCGTCCGACTTTAAAATTATTCCTGCAGCACATTTCTTGAATCTGTGCACTTGTTATTTTATATTATGCACAAAGCTACACAAAGGGCTATCTGTGTTCTGCTCACTAAGGGTATATCGAAACTCGGTTTCTAACAGTATAAGTCCGCAGACATACCACTGTGCCACTGTGGGGGGGGGGGCATCTGCGTTCTTTGGATACTTTCGATATATATGACACAAATGCTGTTCATTGCGCATGCCTGCTGAACATGACCTATAGCCAGAACAATTTTCGTAAACGTTGCAATATGAATTTTTGCATTTATGATGTTTTAAGAAACAGAAAACTACTTACAAGAATTAAAACAAATAAGTATTAAAGTTTATTCATCGCACGTAAATACAAAAGGAACACGAAGCTAATTTCTGAGAATGCTTTGTTTTATAGTATTTTATAAATATTCTTGGCATAACCGTTTTACATCATGAAACGATAAAATAACTTTCATGATGACGACTAACAATTTAGATGTTACAATAACAACTAAGTCATGGTTCAAACGTTACAACATTGCATGTTATGTGGTTGTGTACTTGTGAAATATAGCTAACCCATAATATTTCAACTAGTTTCGTGAAACAGACTAGCCAAGAAGGTGATGACTAACAATAGGTGTTTTGATACTAACGATTCCCAGGAGTGAGTTAAAAGGGGGGTGGGGGAGTACACACTGGAGTTTTCTGGTGATTCAGTTGAGACAAATTTTCAAAGCTGTGTTGAGTAGTCAAAATTTATCAATTTTACTTGGAAGATTTACGTCCTAATATATTTAATGATTTCACTTTAGTTAGATATAGTCTATACAGCACAATGGGCGTATTGCTGACAGGCATGAGCCGAAAATTTGACATTCTAAATAAAGAAATCTAACCTTCTTCCTTAACCAACAGTATAACTGAAAATTTGCAGTCGCATTATGCTCTAGCATAGGATTTGGTTAGACTAGCAAAGATGACAACACTGAATGGTATATATTGCACTAGACGAAAATGTGCTAAACATATTATGTGTACACATGGCATCACCACGTACCAAGTTACTTTGACAAACATTATAGCGCATAGAACAGAACATATTTAAAAGAACAATCCTTTACAATCACAGATCCACTACTACAATACAAATCACTCGTTATACGTAAACACAAATACAGAACAACAGCTTTTATTTTCAGCAGCAAAACTTCAAACATCGAGAATATATATATATATATATCAGGGACATTTTATATAAACTCTCTGAATACACAATGTTACAATAATGTTACTGATATTCATATTGTGACTGATTATTTTTGTTTTTCTTAAATTCAGGAACACTTGTTTTGTTTTAGGAATTTCGCGCAAATCTACATGAGGGCTATTTGCGCCAGCCGTCCCTAATTTAGCAATGTAAGAGGGAAGGCAGCTGGTCATCACCACCCACCGCCAACTCTTGGGCTACTTTTTTACCAGCGAATAGTGGAGTTGACCGTCACATTATAACGCCCCCACGGCTGAAATGGCGAGTATGTTTGGTAGGACAGGGATTCGAACCCGCGACCTGGCCATGCCGGGCTCAGGAATACTAAGACACATTAAAAGTAATCATCCTTAAGTTATGTAAAACAGAAAGACAATGGATAAAACCTTGTATGTACATAATATAATTTAATATATGGAAGAACAAAACTAACTTACTTGTTTGCCAGTTCTTCCGAATGATAATTTAGTGAGTTCAAATAAATTAGTAGTAATAAATAAATAATATGTGCTAATAACAAAGTAAAATAGATAAGGCTATGCTATTAATTCTTACCCGAAAAATATAATATGAAAATTATTTAAATAAAAAGATAATAAATACAATTCACTGTTTGATCTGATTCACACTTTAGCAGTTGTCCATGAAAATTGATTATGTGTGTGTAGCGCCTAGACCACTAATATATCTGTCGTATCCTAGCTGGCCTGATGAGCCCTGGTATTGATGAAAAGGCCTTGTAGGAACTCAACACATAGAAAACATAGAATGGAAGTAAACTTGTAAAGGAATAAAACCTGCTATCAGTGATACACATGATCAGAAGAAGAAAAATAAATAGAATGAAACATAATGTAAAAAGCCGAAAGCTTGCAAAACATTAGAGATCAATAAACA